GAGGGTTTAAATCATATTGATACCAATTTGACCCATCGCGCACTCAAAAATTTTGCATCGTTTCCTGAAAATCAGAATTAAATCATTTTTTCTCTGTCAATATGGGGTTGTAAGACTTTTTAAGAAAAATTATGAGGTTGTAAGACTTTTTGGGAACATTTTGACCTTTTTTCTGGCAAGCACTCGCTCCTCAAACTTAGTTTTTATTGGCAAGTTTTTACCCAAATTGATTTTATGAGCTCCGTTTTATATTCTCTAAAGATTTTTTTGGCAAAAATTTCAACATTTTAGGAAATTTAGGAATATCAACAAACAACAAATGAAGTGTAAAGCATTTTGAGAAAATTTTGACTGAACGCGCGCAAGATTTTCTACATCATTTTTTGAATATCGTAAATAAATCATATTTTTCTCTGACAGGTTTATTAATTTGTATACTATAAATAATCGAGCACAAGAATTTTTTTGACATATCGCCTGTGAAGTGTACGAATGTTTTTTGATGAAAAATTCCGCATTTAAGGCAAAATAAGAAAAATTAAACCAAAACTTAGAGTGCAAGGCATTGCGAGACCTTTTTTTACGAAATATCGGTTTTAATTGCCAAAGTTTGTCTAGAAAAAAGTTAAAGTTGTCAACAAAAAACAAATAAGGTAAACGAGTGCCAAATTTGGAATAAATTGTGATACATTTGCAACCAAAAATGAAAAATTACACCACTAATTCCCCTCAGCGCGCTAAATATGTTTTTTTTTCTGAAAGCTAACAAACAATGAGTTTCAATCTTTTTCATCTTCCCATTATCAAAACATATATATTTTAGAAAAATAAATGATGTTTGTGATTAAATTAAATGTGTCTTCAGCGGAAAAGCGAAATATCACACCTACTTAAACTGACAATTTGACTGTACCCATGTTATACACAAAAAAGAGTGATTTACTGAAGAAAAGTCTACATTAAGTTATTTAAAATCCGCTTAACTTGATCCCAATTTATTACAAAAAAAAACGACCAAATCTCGACCTACACATTTCAACAATGAGAGAACTTATGATAAAAGTGGAGGAAATTTTCATCACAACAAGAGTTATAGCATATAAAAGATATAACTTCAGAGAAGAAAATCAAAACCTTGGAACAATTCCAAGTGGACAGCGTAGAATTAGCGTCTTGCGCTGATTGTGGGAATAGAGAAGATGAGTCGGATCGTGGCATGCTTACACCCCTCAGGAATAAAGAAAAAATAGCGAAAGAGCTTTTGGCAAAAACACAAAGTCCACAAGATGCATATGAATATGCAATTCGTCGAGAAAAAGGAATTAAACATACCCCAAAAAATTAAAACGAATTCATTCGGAGTAACAACAACAAGGAAGCAAGATTCAAATATCAAATCCGCCGATAAACAGAACACACAAAGAGCTAGTGGCGGATTTCGAGGCAGAACATAAAATACAAAGGGGCCATCAACAACCTTATAATAAACAAAAAAATCAATATTATAAGTGTGGCAGACAATTCTCCCCAAATCACCTACAATCATGCCCAGCAAAAAATAAAGTTTGCTCAAAGTGCGCTTAACTGGGGCATTTTGCGAAAACCGATCTACCAACATTAATTAACTCGAAGATAGAATGGAAGAAGGACAAGAAGACATGGAAGGCACCAACGGGATGTCAAAACACGATTCAGTAGCCTTAGTTGAATTTACATCCAATAATGGTTGGGGAAGAACTCCAAAAATATATTTTTACAGTAATGGCAATATCTGAGGCGTTCGAGGTAAAAAAAAAACTTAGTTGTCTTGACTGAATATGATCTAAACGGACCTATTGTTAAAACAAAAACAAACACGGAATTCATATTTGCCATCGTAGACTCGGGAAGCCCCCCAAAAGACGCGGCAAGAAATTAAGCATTTTTCAACGGCGATTTAGCATTATTCCCAAAGGAAGGCGATACGATGATTCCCATTGAAGATATTGTTAAAGGCGATATTATGATTGCCATTTTTCCCATTTTTGTTCTCATTCATCAAAGGCGATATTATTATTCCCATTCATGATAGGGGATGACCAGAAAGCAAACATAATAGGTAGAAACCTACTACCTTAAATTGGCATAACACTAATAAGGAAAAACAAGAACAAACCCGAAAGCTAAGTAAACGAGAAATGGAAGAATCAAACCCTGAATTGAATCAGTGGGATAAAGATAATTTCAAACAATTATGTATACCAATAGGAAAATCAAAAAACCACACATTGCAAACAATATTCGAAAAAGACGCTCTTCCTATTCGGCAAAAAGTTCCAGATCCACCTACAAGAAGGAAATGAAAAAGAGCTAAACAAATTGATGGACCAAAAACACACCGTCAAACGGGATAAATGATCGGACAAACAATTTATCAGCCCGATCGTAGTAACCATAATGAAGGAACAAACAGTAAAAATGGCATTGGATTCCAAAAAGATCGACAAGTTCATCCTCAAAAATCAATACCAAATGCCGAACATAGATCTCCTCCAGGACAAAATAGCACAAGAGGTAAAATCAGATACGAAAAATCGAACGTTATTTTCAACAATTCACTAACGATACGCACACTCGCAAATTCCATTGGATAAACAGACTAGAGATTAATTCAATTTCAGTTTTATTGGAGGCAACATCACTGGGACTTATCAGTTCCAGACGGGATTCTACGTCCTAACAGATATGCCGGCAGAGTTCCAAAAAGCAATCAATTTGACACTCATAAACTGCAAAAATATATATGCTTACTTGAAAGATATATTAATAGTAACTAAAGGGTCACTCGAGCTACATAAGACAAAATTAGAGACAATTTTACAGAAACTGGACAAGAAAAATTTTGCAATCTCATTTGACAAAAATAGGTTTGCATATAAAAGATTGAATGGCTAGGATATAACATTATTATCGAGGGTACGAAACCACTCATTAAGAAAACAGAGGCTAGTGAAAAACTAAACCCATCATGAACATTCAAACAACCAAAAATTTCATGGGCTTAATGCACCATCTCACAAGGTACATTCCGCATCTGGCACAAATCGCCGTTGCACTGCACCCACTCCTAAAAGTTACAGAGAATAAATCAGTTGATTGGAAAGCTGAACACAACGTAGCATTCAATAACATCCTAAAACTGGTTTCAGACATAACACAAATTAAATATTTTGACCAAAACTTAGAAACCCAAGTATTTTCTTGTGAACAAGTTTCAGACATAACACAAATAAACGTTTTGACCAAAACTTAGAAACCCGCGTGGTTTGTGAGTCGATTGACAACATCATATTGAACAATCAGGTTTAAGGGCAGCACTAGAGCAACGTTTCATGGAAGCTTGGTTGGCAATAGCTTGTGCGTCAAGATTCTTACACTCGCTAGAAGAAAAGTTTTCAGTAAACGAAATTGAATTATTAGGGGTAGTTTGGGCGGGCCGTCGAACACTTTAAACATTATTTATACGGGAAAAATTTTTACTGTAATCAAAGACCAACAGGCCTGAATCAGTGCTATAAAAGCAAACAAAAAAATCAAAAACCAGCCAGAGTAGGCTAGCAAGATGGATCGACCATTTAATCCCCTTTAACTTTGACATAAAACATTTGACAATGTTAACACTTGCCTTTTGACATAGAACACTTGGAAACAAAATGGGGTTAATAGACTAGATGTCACGAAATTCGGTTGGAGTAGCAATACCTCTAAGCACGTACAGTGAGGAATTTGTAGTTGCATCAATTAATTTATTCATAAGCAATCTTGAGTTGATTGAAAACATCATATCGGTAGAATCTTCTTATGTTGTTCAAAAAAATCCGCTTTTTTGTCTCACTTAGTCGCGATGTGACTCTCATTGGTCGTTCGGTAGTTTTTTTTTATCACTCAATCCCGATTCATCTTATAGGTTCGTACAAATTTGCGTTTGCGTACAGTTTGTTTTGGTTCGCGCAAAGTCGAGACAACTTTTTTCGGTCGGATTAAGTCGAGTAGAATTTTGAGCAGAATTTCAGTTACAAAATTCGTCACCCATTTTTTTCAGTCGCGATGGTCGCGTACCTAGTCCTGCTCTTGGCCCTTCTTTGGTTTTCCCCTGCAAAAAAAAGAGATTCCTCCTTTTCATTCTACAACCACTCATGACCTTACTTATTCGTCTTCGAATAGTCGTATATCTCAACCTTTTTGATGAGTGTCTGTGTAATTTCACTCATCTAAATGTTTGGGAGTTATAGATTGATTTCAGCAAAGTTAAATATAAAATTGAAGTGGGGTCACTTTGTGGTTATGCGATGCGTTCTTTCGAAAATGCGTGTCGAGAAAAAAAAATATTTTTGAATAGTTCTTAGACAAATTGAATTGAAAACTTGATGAAGTCATTCAAGACAGGCGCGGATCTAGAATTTTTTTGGGGCGAGGGTTTTTCAAAAAGTTTGCAAAAACTTTGATTACCTTTTATGATCAACCCATGTTTGAGAAACAAAAAGAAAAAAAGGTTTTAGGGCACATTTGCAAGGTTTTGACCAAAAAAATTGCTTTTTTTGCTAGCGTTTCCCCTCAAAATTAAAATATGATGGAGCCCAATGCGCTTTAGACAATTTTTACGGGAGGTCAGACGAAAATGGATAAGATGAAATAATACCGCAGGGGGGTCATTTGGGTTGAAAGGGGTCGAATCCCCACAAAAGGCTTTCTTTCTCTTAAAATATCATCACAACGCGAAAAATTAATGTGTTGTCGCAGTTAAGAAAACGTATTTTCAAGTTTTAATAAAAATTCACATACTTTGTGTTTCATCGGATTGGTTTTTGCATGAACATCAACGCAAAAACATGTTTTCATGCAATTTGCGACAGAAAAAAGGACTTTTTATCGGTTAAACTTTTCATCAAAAGACTGTAATAAGTCCAACGTATTTTTTTAAAAGTTTTTTTTTCAGATACTTTTCTTAGTTTTGCCATTTATCTATGCACTATTAAATTTACGTGCAGTATCAAATTTTTTTTCGCTCGCCTCAAATAGTTTAATATCAAATGCATAATCAACTGTGTCAAAGCTTAAACTTTGAACACACTTTAATGTTCTCAAAATATTCAAACCATTTTCTGATTGACGAAAACTAGTTAACAAATTACTTTATTTTGTGACGAGATGGCGGCAAGGGATGACAAAAGCTACCGGTGTCGATTATGCAAGAAAATGTTCGTGAATCCGCGCATGTTACCCTGTGGTCACTCGTTCTGCGGTCCTTCGGGAAAACAAGGCGAGTATTTTTACTCATTCACACCCAAAACAAACTTCAACAGCTCCGTATCGGGGTGGGGGTTCTTTCTCGTGGCTGAAAAACCAAAATACCGAAAAGCTTAAAGCATAATCATCGTCCTTTAAACTGAAGAAAAATGATCTAATTACTTGTGATTTTCACAGCTCTTTCTTTCGAATTGTTGAGTTTTTATTTCTGAGTAGTGAAACTTCATATCTGATTTGTGTCAATCCCAATTCAGGTCTGAGTTTTTTTTAAAGCAGCTTTGAATTTTTCTGAAATTATAGTGAATTGTCTGAAAATTGCATTTTTTTCCGGATCGGCGCAGAGAGACATTATTTTTAAAAGGAAATAATTAATACTCATGTTAAAACATCGTAAAAACACTCGACAAGGTTCTTCTAATCCGACCGACTGTCTGGGCGAATATCTGAAAACGCGCAGAGAGAGGGGATCCATGGTGTGTCCGAGAGGTGACTGCAGTTCTGCCATTTCTGAGCCACAGTGTACGAGCACTGACTTTCCCTTCAACTACCCCCTCTACGCTCTGGTTGAAGTGAGTAATCGTTTTCTAAACTGCCATATAACTTAAGTTTATATGATTAAATTTAAAAGTTAAAATTTCAAAATTAAGTCTTGAAAAAATTTAAAGCTTAATCATCGTCTTTAAACTGAAGAAAAATTATTTAATTCTTGTGATTTTAAAATTTGAAGAACAAATTTTGAAAAAATTTTGTAATTGTGTTTTTGATCACCCACGCAAACAACGAGCGCAGATATTGGTGAAGCCTTTTGGTTTGAGAGGCGATTATATTATCCATTGTAAGCTCTGCTTCTCAAACAAGCGATTATTTATTTTTAAACTGGTTTCTCAATTATCCATGCCCGATGTGTGCTTGGGTGAGCACAAAAACGCAAACAAAAATCTAGTTGGGAAAATTAAGCAAAAATTAATTTTCCAGTTTTCAATTTTAAGTTTCATCATATAAATTGTTTTTTTTTTCTATAAATTGAGCGTAAGAGAATGACAAGAGCCGACGAATTAAAAGAATCCCGCAGTGATAAAATTGATAAACCCTATTATTTACAGAAAAATGATATTTCAGATCTATTGTAAATTTTGATGGTAAACTTCGATTTTATGCGTTTAATATTTGATCATAATGAATGTTATTTCGCAAAATTTTTTTACTGTATATTTTCATTATAAAATCTATACAAAAATACTCAAAAATTTCTAACGATTTTCTAACATAATTCAAATCCCTAATTTTTGCTCTTAAACAACCCATACCCCCTACAATCATAAAGACTAAAAAAAATTTTAAATGTTTTTCAACCTTAATTCCTAAATATCTGCTATCGTAAAATATGCTCTAAAAGTGTGCTATCTGTATCTCTGAAACATTTTGCAAATCTGAGAAAAGTGAATAACTGTATCATTGGGTTCATATAGAAATGAACAGAAGTTGTTTTTATTTTACGCCAAATGAGTGATCATAAAAATGTTACGCATCAATGACCCAGTACTGCAAAACTTAATTACGTTTGAATATTTGAATGTAGATGACCAGTTTTTTTTTAAATCTCTGCCACATTTCGAATTTTTCATCACATTGGTTTCATAAAGCGCTGATTTGCTCCTTGATATCAGTCCGAGTTGATTATTTTGAGATTGACAATATATTTAACCTAAATATAGTTTTTTCTTATGGAAACTGGGAGAATTTATTACAAAATTTTGAAAGATTCACTAATGGCGACACACAAAGCTTCAGTAGCATACATAGCTGTTCAACGTTTCTTAAATTGTCCCTGATTTTCTCCTAAAAAACTCCTGTAGTACGTTGTGGTAAGAAAAAATCTAAAAACGATAATTTTTTTGACGAGTTTAGTCGACTCCCTGACCACCCAAAGCATTCGAATCTTTCAACACCCAAAAACTACAGTTTTTCGATATCTTTTATTGTCTTGCAGACTAATTTTTCTGAAGGTGTCTTTGGCGACAAAATAAATTAGTTTTGAGAGGGTATCGCGTGAAAAGAAAACGTAATAGATTTGACGAAACCCTTTGATGAGTGGCTTGAAACTTTTTGGACGCTTTTCCTCCTTCAGAGATTCGACCCCCTGACTACCCAAAGGGTCACCCCTTTGGTATTACTTTGACACCTCTGGCTGGCTTTAACACATTTTTGGCTAGCAGACCTAAAGTTTTTCTAAACGCGCCTTTGGCGCCTATATATACTAATTTTTATGAAAAACAGTCAAACCATTTTTGTCCTGTTTTTTTTTCAAAAATTTTTAAAATTCTTTTACTGGTCTAGGAGAGCTCAGATAATATATTTGGTCGACCTAAAATAAAGATCGACAAAAACTTTCGAAAAATTATTGAAAGTCCGCCCCTCGAGAAAATCCTAGATCCACCCCTGCTTGCGGCCCAGATAGTTTGTCAAAATAGTTTCATTTGTGTTTTTGTAATGCTCATTAATCAATCGATCAACCTAAAAGAAAAGTTGACCAAATTCTTAAACTATTTAGAAATATCTGCCCCCCAAAAAAAATGAAATCCTACATCCGCGCCTGTTTTAGAGACTCCTACCCTTTTATTTCAAATACAAAAATTGATAGAAATGAGTGCTTTGATAGAAAATTATAAAAATCATATCTGAAATTGAGCGATAGTATTCATCAAGACGCTTGTAATGCTTTTGCAGTTTTGATAACTTTTGACGAAAACTTTAAAGTGTTTCTTCTCAAAAACTTCTTAATTTCTGTTACAATGAAAGCACACTTGCGGATAATAGCCTCATCGTCTTGAGGATTATCTCGAGAAAGGGAATAATTTTTTTGGACTTATTGTCGACCTTCTTTTGTTCGGCAAAAATAGGTTGAGGTGCTGTATCCAAAACATTAATAAGACGCTATTTTGTTAGAAATGCGGGCAGCTTGGCCAAACTTATTTAGATTTCGAGTCAAAGTCAGCGTATTTGTCCAGTTTTGAATAATTTCGACTAAAATTTTCAATTTAGCATTCGATCAATCTCGAATGACTCTTTTCTGATTGGTGCCAAAGGCGCGTCTACGATTTTTTAAAGCCTAATAGCCAAAATGGACGTAAAATAGTAGTGTGGATAACCTTCGGTTATGAGCACGTAAAGTTTCTAAGAGGGTCCCCCCAATCCTACCATTGCATATTTCAGCAAAGAAAGGCGGAACTTCGAAGTGATGGAAGTGAAGAGGAGTGTTTGGATAACAACTGCCTAAACAAGTGCTCAAAACACGACCTGCTGAAGAACTACTACTGTGTGAAGGACAAAGAAGCCATCTGCAACAAGTGCCGAATGAGCAGTGATCACAGTGGTCACGCTGACAGCGAAACCATCATCACGATTGAAGAAGCACGAGAGCGTCAAGTAAGTTATAGACTGAAGCAGTTAACCCAAATATTCGGAACCGTTCAGTCGTTTTTATTATACGGCCCAAATAATCAAATTGTGTATAGTAGTTTTTTTCGACCGTATAGTAGTTTTTTTTTAAAGTTTGAGACTTAAAAGAGAAAAGAACCGAACCATTTCCCCTCTCATACCCAAGCTTACCCATAGGAGGCAAAAAGTCTTTAGTTGAAACCTTAATTAAAAATTGCAATGTCGCACTTCAAAACTTCCCTACCATTACTTGAGAAGATATCCGAAACTTGGCATTGATTTTTTTGCAAACGTAGAAAATTGAA